TGATTAATATGTAACGTATCGATTGTTAAACATTCGTTTTTAGTTTCTTTCACAAATGGATTAATAATGATAGTAATAATCATCCAGTATAATATTATTGTCATTAAATCTGTATTAATCCTGTTCTAATATTATTTTCATGCGGATATTATTATTAACTATTAGAATGTCATGTTACAATTGGAAATTTAGACTTGTTTAATTTATTCTGAAAAATTAATTGCGCTGCTTGTCGATATAAACGATAATGTTGAGATTGAAGCTTTTTTATTAGTCTCATAATCGGTATTCAACAGTTTGGAATATTAGATGATAATCAATCTATTTGAATTTTACGCATTCTATCTCTCTAGCTCTCTTGCTTTCTCTCTTTCTCTCTCTGCGCGCAATTTCGATATTTTTCCGTAACGAGACGGTCGCTTTTTCTTTTTTCTTTTTATTTTACAACACGACGCGTTATACACAGATAGTTTTTCGCTCTCCGTTTATGAACAACAAAAGTCTTGCGAAAATGTTTGCGGATGGTCTCCAATATATCTGCGATATATCTGTCGAAATATATTTTTGTGTACAGTCGACTTCACGAAGCCATTAGGTGCGACGCAATCTTGGAAATGGATCAAGCTTATACGTCTATACGTTACAAACTTTGGAAATCTTTTGCTTGAATGATTTATCGCTTTTATAATCTTCTTGATATTAACATAAATTTTTATATAGACATAAAAAATGATTTATGCAAAGGCAATATAGAGCTTGTAAAGATGATAATAATTTTTTTTACGCACATCTAAAAAGGTACTATCGCGAAATAAAATTCTTACAATTAATCACAAAGAGAAAATTGATAAACGTTTAATAAATCTTCATATTTTATTTCATCAGAATTTATTTTCCGTGCGTATCTGCAAATTCATTCCTACGGATGCAACACAGACGTCCAGTGATCACATCTCGGATATCTATTGGATATCGAAATGTCCCGCAATATATTCAGTCATTCAATATCCGAGAGATATCTCCCGGTATCTCCCGTATATCCGTCTCCAGTATGGATAATTGTACAACACGAGCTCGATCATACAGAGTACACGGCTCACATAAAACAACCGCGGAGAAACGGATAGAGACGCTAAACAATATCATCTCGATATCGACGATCTCCGTCCGACCACCAAGAGACATCGCGTTGCGAGTGTCGACACGTCTAGAATCGTGACGAGAAAGGCGACAAAGTGTATAGCACGGATATCGAGCGACCGACAAAAAGCAGATAAAGAAAGAAAGAGAGAGAGAGAGAGAGAGAGAGAGAGAGAGAGAGAGAGAGAGAAAGTGAGGAGAGAAACAGAGAGGTTACAGATAAAAAAGCAGATTCGGAGAGATCAGGGATCAGAAAAAAAGATAGGGTGCGATAGCGTGAGAACGCGTTGATTGAAGTGCACGTACTTACGTTCCTCAGGATACGTCATGTGTGCCGGCTGCATGTGCAGCGGATGCAGAGTGTGGGCGGTGCAGGTGTATTGTCGCGTCGCATCCTCCCTCGTGGTCGCGCTGCCAGCTTCGCCGTTTCGAGGCGAAAGACGCGAGGAGTGACACACGCGTAAATACGCGTACGCGTGCGTTAGACGAGCGCGTGCCGCCTGCGTGACTCACTTGACGAGCACGTGAGTGAATGGCGAAATGTGAAAAGCCACAAGTATGCCATTAATTGTATACGTTTTTGATTGCGCAGCGACAGACATTGCGCTACAAGACATCCGATGAACTCCGGTATCTTTTTTGTGAATAACATATATAAAATCTCCTGATATACATATAAAATTTTATCAATATGCAAAAAAAAAAAAATAATCGTAGACAAAATTTTGACGAATGCTCTAAAAATATCTATCAGAAATTTACGTATATTGTTTCGAGATGTGTCGAAATTCCGTATAATCGTTTTTTATTTTTAATCGTTCTATTTCCAGCTGATGATTCTAAAGCTAAGATCTTTCGAAGCGCGATTTATCGGACTCGTGGAAAATAATTCATGCATGACTTGATTTAAGCTTTTCCCTTAAGTCTCGTTTTGATGTTACTCACAGTTCGCTGGTTTATTGCTGAAAGAAAAAGCTTTTCGCAAATTGGCTGTGAATTAATGATTATTGCTCTTCTGCGGAAAGTATTTAGACGCACGTTTGTGCGTTTCTTATAAATTCTCGGATTTCAGAAAGAAGATAACGAATGTCTTTTAACTTGATATTTTGAGAGAATTCATGCTGTATGATTCTTTTTAACGTTCATCCGTAAGATCTTTAGAAATTTGTAAAATACAATGAAATAAGCACCTTTTAATCGATGATCTTTTCTGCTTTATGAATTTCGTCCATATCCCCAATTTCTACGAGACGATATAGACGGTGATGTAAATGTAAATCAATAGATTTTATTAACCGACGCACTTTTCGAATGGCGACGCCATCAAAGAATCACCCGTTGATTTTATTTCGAAAGCGAAACGCTGTGTTTTATCTCTGTGTCAATTTGTTTAGTTAGGGAAGGAGCCTTTTGTGAAGCCGCTGCACAACAATTAATTTTAATCTCGCGCGGACTTCGGATTTTTATGTGAACGCCGCTGGTGAGCGTTCCATTGTTCTGTCGCTATCTCTTTATGGGCACCACGGTAGAAAAAAAGTGCAATTTAAACGTATTCGCAATTTTTATTCGATCGTTCGTCGATCCCGCTGTGTGTCGTCGAATCTAGGAACGTTTGCCCGTTACCTCGCAAACGACATCGACAATCGCCAATGTTGATCAGCAGCTTGATATTGTAGATCTTGAGTAGAGGAAATTCGAACGATGTGTATTATATGGTTCAACGATCATTATTTAGCGATTACGAAACGATCGGCTGTACAATAATTTGAGATTTCGGATCACAAATATCCGTATAAAACACGATACGGCGAACCCTTCTCCTTAATTGACGTCTATAGATAGGTGATATATAATGTGAGAGAGGCGATATTTTCGTAGCTCTACCGTTCTGTTTAATAAAATTATTCGTTTAGATACTTATCACAACAGGTTGAATATATCGTAGGAACCCTGCCTGTGTCTTGTGTGTGTGTGTGTGTGTGTGTGTGTGTGTATGTGTTTGTGTGCGTGTGTGTGTGTTGTTGCGTGTCTATGTATATATGTCATACATTTGTGTCCAATTTTACAACCACAGCGAATCCCGGTTACATCAGGTGTATTGATATACCAGCGCATTTTCAGCGAGTTCAAATTTCTGTACCCACGTGGAAATCGTTTCTCCGCGCTTATGGAAACGCTTATTATCCGCGCAGACGAAAACGCGACAATTGGTGTGAGGTTCACCGTTGCCTGTCTCTCGTCCATCGAAAATTGAACTCACCAAAGTTGTACTGACATTTTAATCCCTGAATTATATTAACGCAACTTTTCCGGTCACCGGCTCACAGTGCGTGATGCCCCCTCGGCGCACGGAGGATTCAAAATACGAATTTATTTACCTCGCGCAAAGACTATTTACAGGAAAAAAACCAGATACGGTTCGATCATAGTTAAAATATCGGGCGTCGCAGTTAGGGACGGTTTGAAAATTTCCATTCTCACGTATTCGCACAAATCGTTTTTCTCTTCACGCGCAAAATCACGGACAAAATCGCTAGCAATATATTATCTACAAAGATCCCAAGTAACAGAGTCTCATTTTCCGTCCGTCAATTGCGGTACCGTGAAATTTTGCATCCTGTTATAACACACTGACAAACTATGTGGAACAAGGAACGGTGCGCTATTATTATATCGACAAACCGGAAGAGAAACCGTACAAGTTCGAGACCAGCTTTCGTCACCCGTGGTTCATGGAAACGGCACAAAATTATTATAATCACAGTTCAATTCTCTGCATAATTGCACGGACTAGCACAAACATTTCTACGGCTCGATAGAAAAAGAAAATAAATCAAAACGTCTTATTTTTTTCTCGAGTAGATAAAATAAACAACTAAAAAAAAAGGGATGACCAATGTTAATTAAATATAATAATTGGCAAAAATATAATTATTATAATATATGATTATTGGAATATATATTGTATCAATTCAGCATATTTTTTTGATGATTTATTTCGATTTAAACAAATTGAACTTAAAGCCTTTTTATCAAGCGTCAAAAATAATTTTTACCAAATTATTTGCAAGAGATCATAGTTTCCTAGATAATAATAACAGAAGATGTGAATAGACATGAGTATAAGTTTATGCTTAGAAAACGTAGAGTTTTGTTGAATTAATATTTTAACAGAAATAATATATATATTTTTACAGAAATAATATTCCAACAGTAATTTTATTTATTGCTGTAACATTATACTACTGAAATTTGCATAAGTAAAATATTTTTGTTTATTCTTTTATTTATGAGTATAAATATATAAACTCATAAATAAAATATATTTTATATATATTAGTTTTTCCTGTAATTATGAATACACAATTACAAGAGAAAAAATCCTATACTTATACAAATCTTTCTAGTAAAATAATCATTGCTAGGACGTGTCACCTATTCATAAATAAAGTACAATTTTAGTACAATTTAAATTATATGAGATAATCTTTCTTATTATATAGAGAGATATAAAAGCGAAAATCAAAACTCTACATTTCTCGCGCATACTCACATTTATCCACATTGGCCACGCGGTCCGCATTAGAAAACCATTTTCGAATTCCAACGCTCTCGAATTACCGCCGAGGGGACAGCCGGGTCGTGTCCGTGGTATCGCGGGATCGATTATGGGACGTCGCAGGACGATCGGAGGCCCGTGCCGGTAATCGTGCGTGCGTTTATTCGTCGACGTTGATCAGCCAAATGGCGCGGTCCAGGCGAGAAGGTGTCGCTGTCGCGTCGTTGATGGAGATCATCTTGTTCAGGCTGGTCGTCTCCCGCAGCAACCGCACGCTACCCTCGTAAGTCGTCGGACGGTGTTATTGCGAGGACGTCCGCGGTGGTTGGCCGTTGGGCGGCGGCGGAGGTGGGGGCGGCGGTTGCGGGTGCACCTGGTGGGACAGGAGACTGTGCGCCTGCACGTGGGCCGCCGCCGGGTGGTGATGGTGATGTTGATGGTGATGGGAGTAGAAGATGGGTTGCGCCGTGGTGGGCGCGCACGAGGTGCCGACGCCGACACCGACGCCAACGCCGACGCCCACGCCGACGCCGACCGAATGCGACAGGGCGGAGGTCGCGCCTACCGAGGACGGGGGTCCTGGCGGTCCCGGCGCTGACACCGACACGGACACGCCGGCGGAAGCGCCGGTGCCGGCTGACGCCTCGTGGTACAAGATCGGCACCCTGACTAGCCTCTGGGTGGCGTGCGCCATGTTCGCCGCCTCCAGCTCGGCGGCCAGCTGCCGCTTCCACTTGTTCCGCCGGTTTTGGAACCAAATCTTCACTTGGGTCTCCGTGAGTCTGAGCGAGGCGGCGAGACCGGCGCGCTCCGACGATGAGAGGTAGCGCTTCATGTCAAACGTGCTCTCCAACTGGAACACTTGCGACCTGGAGAACACCGTTCTCGTCTTCTTTTTGCGCTTTATACTGTTAGACTCGCGACCGTCGCCGATCTGCACGTTATTCTGGCCGTTACTGTTGCCATTGCCACCACCACCTCCGCCGCCACTACCACCACCGCCTACCGCGGAAGTACCGTGAAGACTCGTCGACGTGGACTCGCCTTCGCCGTCGCCATCCGCACAGTCGTCAGCTTCACCGAGGTCGTCATGCGCCTCGTCGCCGCTTGACGGACTCCTCGCGCGATGCAGACGATCATCGGCATTGTCGTCGTCGAGTTCGTCTGGAGGAAGATACACATGATTTCAATCATTGTATAGTTTTTTTTATTTATAATCTGCTTTTCAAAATTTATATATTTATTTCGAACTTTTTTTTACATGTCTTTGTTCTTCTGAAATCTATTAAAAGTATTTTCGCGCGCTTATTGACTATTATTAAGATTATTATATCGTTGTATCGATAAACACGAATTTTCTTTCAAAACTGTTACATAGAACGTTTTTTTTTTTATAAAGAAAATTATAATTACTTTTTTTTACCAATACATTTACCTTTGCTCACAATTAAAAGCTTCCGAACACTTTTTATCCGGAACCGATAGTTGCTTGTAGAGTTATATTTTTCTGTTAATTATCTCTTTTGTTTCGCAAGTTACTGAAACAAAGATCTTTTTATTTACGAGGATTGTTATCCTTCCACCAGGATTGTTCTTAACAAGTAACGCGGGATAAGTCTGATTAATGGCGTAAAACTCGGACGGAGATGAGAACTGCGATATGATATAATACGAATAATGATACTTGGTAATGTGCGTGTGTGAAGTATGAAAGACACGCGGTGTATATTTATCGATATAATCAAACCGTTAACGAGAGAAAGGTAAACGCGTTAATCGCTCTTCTTTTTAAACGTGATCCGTATACGTCAATCAGCCTGGCGAGAGCGCTTTGGATTTACAAATTCTCTCACGCGCGCTCCGATAAATCGCCATTATATACATTTCTCTATCCGTATTGAATATTTAATCAATTAATAGAATGCTAATTAATATTCTATTAATCCATTTTGACATAATTGCTGCGTATTGAATTCCCTTATGCCGCTATCGATGCAGATGCATCATCCAATGACATTATTTGCGATGCATTCATATTTGTATAAAATACTGTTATACCGCCGTGCCTCTTTTACGATGTGTGCGAGAATATGAAGGAAACAGTAAAATATGCAACGATTCATTTTCTACAAACATTTCCTTTATCACTCTTTGTCTTTTAACTGAAATATTCCACGGACACATAAATATATCGAGGATAAATATGATCGTTTTATTTTTAGTGACAAAATATCATTAACATGTGTGTAAAATGTTTAATCCTTTCTCTCTACAAATGATCGTTGTGGCACAGACAAAAAGTCGGCTGAAACGAAACTAGATACGATACATTTTTATAATCAATAATTTGATATTTGTTATACCGGAAATATAATCGAGCCGAACATATTTTTAAAAATATGTGCTTTTCAACTTTTTTTGTTCGTAAAGTGAGAATCATTATTATTACCATTACATAAAACAAGATTTATTCAAAAATCTGTTGATCTCTTATATAGCCTTATATATCTCCTCTTTTTTCTTTCCATTTTTTTGTGTACGATTGTTTTAATTAAATTTGCTTATTTTCTGATAAAATTTTTGATTTTGAAGAAAATTTGATTTTTAGCCCTCTCAGAATTTATGAAAAATAATACACACGATGGCAACCAAGCGATTACTATTATCATTATTGTACTATTAAAAAAATTTAGCGTTGTAAGTCGGAACTGGCGAGCGATCGCAAGTGTGTCCATAGGTGGGAATAGTAACTGTCTAAGTGCTTAGGCAAGGTGGCAGAAGCAAAACGATCGTCGGGTAAGGCGATCGACGTTGGTTTGTCGTGATGGAAGCCGTGGAAGCCTTACGCGTAGTTGTATACGCGAAGATATACACATAGATACACGAGCGCGTCTATAACGCCCACGCAGACAATATATCTGTATATCTACAGAGGTCTCCCGCGTTAACCCTCGTTTTCCTTCGCCTTTTCTTCGCGATCTATACGAGTTAGCGCGGGTTCCACGTCTCAATTGTCTCGAGATATCGGTCTGTGCATCTCTCTCTCGGTGTCTGACATGTTTTCGGAATTTCGAAAGCGCAAAAATTTTTGGTTAATCGAGCTGAGAAAATTTTGCGTTATTATATTAAGCAGAAAGAAGTAAGAATTGTATAAAATTGGAAATATTTATTTTTCTCATTTTTATCAGACGTAAAATATTCCATTTTTTATGTTTCGATTTCTACTTTATCAAAAATAAAAAGGAAAATTTCGTATTACTTCTGTCTAACTCGACGAAAGCCGATGTTCCACAGACCACAATTGCGAAACAATGTTAACATCTCTTTCCGACCGCGGCGCGCGTTTTCCCTCGGATTATCCTTAATAAGCCGTCTCGATCTGCCTGGGCGCGCGGGGGTGACGAGCAGGGAAGGGAATTGAACTCACCTCGCTGCGGAAAAGATGCAGACGCGGGACTGACACGGCTGAGGGTGCCGACCACGTCGCTTGGCGAGGGATGCTCGAGCGTCTGCAGGCCGTGCGTCGGCCTCCATGGAAACGGCCAGCCGGCGCCGCCGAGTAGAACGCCGCGGATGCCGTCGGCATCGACGATGTCCGGTGATTGGCCGGCGTTGCTGAGGGCGGACGAGGCCGCGGCGGCCAGCCGCGAATGATGCTGATGCTGCTGCTGTTGCTGCTGATGGAGATGCTGCAGCGTCGACGGATAGAATAGACCGCCGATGCCGACCGGGTATCGACTCGCTATCAATCTACAACAAGATGGAATGTTGTTATTTTACAATGTTTATTAAATACGATATAATATGTGTATATAGATAGATAGATTCAAGGATAGATAGATTCGTCAATAATTAAAATAAATAGAAGGAGCAAGGTTCTTTAATAAAAATTACAGTTCGTCCAATTTAGTAAATCTCAAGTAAATTTCCAGGTGATTCAAAAGCACTTTGATTTTACATAATTAAGGATGAAGCAGTTAGGCCGGAATTGATTTTTTCTTAACTAAAATATTGAGACATTAGGTAGCTTCGGCATCAGATGATTGAGAACAAAAGAGAGAACATCCAGTTTTCAATTGAAGTTTTGAGAAATGTTTAAACATTTTACACACACATTTATAAACTTTACTCTTCAGAATTTTAATTTGGATAGTAATTAAATGTGGATTTGGAAAATAATCAAATGTGATTATATAATATCAACAATTGCAGATTTATGTCGCATTATATTTAATTTAACATAGCAACGTCAGCAACATTCGTGTTATTATCTTAAATTATTGTAACATGACACAATGTGATGATGTGAAATGCCAAGCAGTGAAGAATAACAGGAATCTCAAATAATTAAATATCAAAAGTCGGTTGGTGAGCAGATCGCAAAATCCGTGAGCTTCATCTAATACGCGATCGAAAAAAAAAAAATTAACCGTGTCGGACAATTAAACAAGTAACGAGTACAATCATTATTTACGAAAGAATTTACAAATCGCTACCACATCTAAATACGAGCAGAGTCTGTTTGTGACGCGGGGTAGTTCGAGCATGCCTGATCGTTACGTTGGGGATAAGTGCCGTCGCTCGTAGCCGACGGCCATTACCATTCGGATTTACTCAACCACTCGGGAGAAAGCAGAGCTCTTCACTGAATGGAATATATTTGGAAACGGTGTTTGCACCGCAACAATAGCTGGACGTGCTACGAATAAACGCTCGACCGGTTATTAAGAGCAAAAATCCGCTTAGAGCAAGAAGCTCTCGAGAAGATCGTCGCGTTGACCAGGGCAGAAGTATACCTGCGTCGCGGACCCTTCCGGTAGCAAATTCAGTAGCAGCTTTATACGCACGACATGCGAAAACCTTGATTAACACGTTGAATGCCACGAATGATCACTAGTGAATGGCACTTGAACTTTTAGTGGCGCCGTGCCGGTCATCAGTGACCGGCGCTGATCGTCGTTACAAAATATATAAAATTCGTACAAAATAACATTTATAGAATTATAATTCTATAAATATAATTAAATTAAATATTAAAGTAATAGTCTAAATAAATGTATTAACGCGTGATAATTTTGCATAATAATTCAATTATATATTTCATTGAGATGTACAATAGATCTAACAGTGAAAATTTTACTCCGATGTCACCAGAGAGACAAGCGAATTTTAACACATTTAATGTGTTAAAATGACTCTTGATCGGACGGAGTTTTCAATATAGGTACTTGTTTCTTAAAAAATATATGTTACGTCCATAACGATGACAATTAAAATACGATAGTACAATGATTTCTGTTTTAGAAACTTCCCTGAAATTTTACAAATTTAGTGGCTTTGTCTCGGCTGGAATCTTTAGATCGTTTATCGGTAAATCTGTCATCGGGTCTTCACGGCTGATTGTCCTCTGGTTCTTATTTGACCGCTTATGCGCTTAACGAGGATTTTCTTTTTCTCTCTCTCTCTCTCTTTTCCGATTGTTACTTCCGATCGCGGCTAAGCACCATTGTTGCAGCTGCACGCGCCGTAGAAACTTAATGCAAGAGTAACCGATTTGCGGTGAGCAGAAATATAGGGAAGAAGGATCTGTCGGTCGACTGGCCGATATCGGTAGGCAGGGCCGGTTGGTCAGGCTGCATGTGGGCCGAGGAGGCTTCGGAAGCCTTAGTACTTTCCCGTGTTCCTTCCTCGCTACCCCGTCGCAGTCTGTCTGCGACGAGCGATCTGATCTCGTTTCGATACGCCACGTGAAAGCGTATTTGACTTTCTTCGCCATCGTATGAGTAGCACTTTGCGCCTATTATCACTTGGGCCTCGTTCGCCACAACAGATAAACAATTCATCCGTTCTAACGTTCCGTCTCACGATATCAATTTAATAGTCGGTTACATTTATTTTGCAAACTCATTCTGAAAACGTATTCTGAAAAATATCCGAAAATATTCTTCATTCTTCACCTTAAGATAATGTAATACATTTTAATTTACGACATTTTTTGGAATAATGTCGGTCAAGGTGCGCGTATACTTAAAAAAATCTTGTATTACTTGATATTATTGAGAAGTCTTGAGAAGTTAAAATCCAAATAAATCCACAGCAAATACATTATAAAATGCGAACACTTTCTTCAAACAAGAAGTGATTTTCGACTCTACCTCACATTCGATCGGATATTGATCTCCTTACTTTCTTCACATATCAACGAGTCAGCGATGCTTACATAAGCTAATGCCCGCGCGTCAAAACTCCACACGTGTCAAACCGTTTATCACTAAGGAGGAAATTACGCTGGGCGGTAAATATGATACAATAATATAACGACAACGATGACGACGTGGCTGCCCGGGACCAAAGTAAAGGAGGAATTAAGACGGACCCTTCCTAAGAGAATTCCTCAGCGACACGCGATCTCTTCGGCGTGCGCCTCTTCCCTACAATTCTTCCGGCATCGAGACGAGATATCGAGATATTCTCAAGAAGGCTTCGCGCGGCTAACAGGAGAGGAGAGACGACGGCCCGGGGCAGGCACAAATGCTCCGGAAAAGATAAAGGAAATCTGACAACCGCCTGTTTTGTAAGCATTCAGGGACCCTTCTCTGAAGGAGCAGGTATAAACACCAAACACTCGGATCTCTCTCGGTGGAGAGATCCACTACCATTTACTGCCTAATTCCGCAGGTCTTACGTCTTCGGGCGGCCGCGAACACTCGACGTTGGCTGGCTAGGTTTACGAGTTCTCTCCACGTAGGTAGGCACTCAAGGACTCTTCTCGGCGATACTTCCCTTTAACGCGCTGAGTCGAGTTTCTCTAGGTCATCGAACATACACTTGACTCGCGTGACTTGCCTTTGATTTCTGTTTCTCTCCTATCATTGATGATCTTTCGGGATGATCTAGCGATTGTATTCGAGCCACTATATTTGATTTCCAGTTTTCTGTTTTATGCAACCTTTTGATTTTATATGTAATAATATTTTTACTTTTAACTTAATATAAATTTCGTATATATAACGATGATTTTATCATTTATAAGTCGGAAAAAGATTATTAAAGAAAATTGACTGATAACTTTTATTCATATTATGACTTTTTAATCTTTTAAATATTATATACATGTGTGTGTGTGTGTGTGTGTGTGTATAAGTGTGTGTGTGTATGTGTTGATATTAATTTATTTGCAGCTTGCGATAACGAAGAAATTCTTAATATAATTTATAATAAGTTGGTACTTATTTTATTAGGCCCGTACACATTTTTAATACGAGGCGCCCGAGTTTACCTTTATTGAGTATTTCCGTTAAAATTTTCCTTTCGTGTCTTCAATGACGTGTTATACCGCTTGCTTGTATTGATTATTATTCTACCTCTGCTTGCGCGCTCAGTAAGTGCCATTCTCAAATATAAACTCTTTATGCCGTTAACGATCGCTCGTAATACGATACGTTTCGTCGTGTATCGTTACACCGAGGGTAGTTAGGAGCGCAGCGAAGAAAGAGAAGTCGATCGCGTTCGCTAGCGAAAGTGCGCCCAAAGCGGTTTGCAATCTGTATGCGATCATTACGTTGTGCTTTACAGAGAAAAATAAAAACAAGAGGATAAAGAAAACAGCGAAAAATAATTTATCGGATATTAACGAGGTGAAATAAAGAGAAAAGAAATAGACGGATGGGATAAATTTTCAAGTTGTGTTTGTTATACCGACTAGAGGATGTTAAGAAGCATTCTTTTGTATATTACTTATTTTAATCTAATCTTTATTTCTTTCTTTCTCACACACGCGTGTAATTGCAACACGGTGAAATCTATTGTTATACTATATCATCTTATAAAGCGTCAGGATGACCCAACAACAATTTATTGGCTTTCAAAGCGTTCGGCTAAATCCACTAGTTGGCTTCATTACATTATTGGCTTGCGATAGACGGAACGACGAATTTATTTCCATGTTTACAGCAATAACTTTGTCATGAGATTCTAAAGAAAATTATTATTATTATTATTATTATAAATATATCTCTTGATACACAAGTCTTTTGATAAACTCCAAAGAATCGTTTTACAAAGGAATGATATATATAGAACTGATATTGTAACAATTTGTTGAAATTGACTTGTATTGGACGTGTGACGTGTTAGCGAGATACGCAATTATATAATTATTTTTGGACTCGCGTATACATACATATATATATATATATATATATATATATGTGTGTGTGTGTGTGTGTGTGTGTGTGTGTGTGTGTGTGTGTGTGTGTGTTAGTCGTGTCTCCTCCTAGTATGACTTTTTAATCAAGGATTTGCTACTTCGTAGACGAAGCAGTGTCGGATGAAATCGGAGGGAATTGTAGTCCGGCGCAATTACAATCCGTGATCCATACGGCTGCCGCCATCGCTCATCCCGAGCATTTGTTCCCAACGTCGAAACATCCATCGTTCGCGAATAGGCGATCATACACAATAGGCTTTATCGTATCTTCCTTTGAAACTTGTAGCGCGATCCCACCCTAATTAACGAATCATTCATCAGCGCTGTAATTAACGAGGCAGTCTCTGTCGCGGATTATATCAGACGGATCCTTCCGTTCGCGGTCCTATCGTGCCCGCGGTAACGTTTTTGAATATAAGCCCTCGCGAATCGAGCAAAAAATATTTTCGCGATTCTCCGCGCCACGGCCGCGCGAACGAATTTGAAACGTATTGAGAGGGAACAAGATGGACGCGCGTGAAACGATAATTAATTTTTCTAAATGGCGTTTCTTTAATAAGAAATGTTTAGAATATGTGTGCGTATACGTGTCAATTCTGAAGACACGAGGAAATACATTTCTTCGGCTCAATTAAGTCGCGCCTTAAAAAGAAGTCGGATGCGATTGTTAACAATTTCATAAAGCGCGCATGTTATCCCGAGCATATATCCAACGCGTAAATCCCTTGCGCGTACTTATTCCCCTGCGGAGAAATATTATTATTTGATTAGTTAAGTTGTATACATATATATATATATATATATATATATATATATATACATATATATATAGGATGGATAATGCTCTGCTGAGATCGCATGGCGCCAACTTCTCTCTTCACGACCTTGGTGAACGAGAATCTCAGGCTGGCGTAGAGCGGCGATTTAATAATAAATCGAGCCTAGAACTTGCGCGCTTCCTCCCGGAAGAGACGTAAGGGCTGCTCGCTCGCAGCAAATGGGCCGTGGGATAGGTAGCCCGTTTCTCAAGGGAATCTTAGGCTCCTTAACCTTGGACTATACGTGTACGGCGTTTCATCCGCATCCATTATGCACTCTACGCCTAATTGATTTTTTGCCATCCCCCTTCTCGCCGACGCGCGCGTTTCGGCAGCAAATTTCGATTGCCAGTTCCTCGTAACGTTAATTAGCGTGCTCGCGAATTATGCCCGGGACACGTGCGTTTTGCGTGTGCGTATGTATATGCGCGTGCGTGTGTTTTATATGTACGTGTGAAAATAGCGCGAGCGCGCGATCATCGTGTAATTCTATACCTCCGCGCGAATTTTTGTTGAATTGCATTTAAACGCGTAAATGGATCCGAACGGAATATATGCGATTTGTAATTTTACGTATCGCCGCGGAGCGGTTATTACAAGCGAGACACACCTCTTCCGTGGCCCTTTGTGACGCGTGAATTATGTCGTGCATTACCTGAAAATCTGTAACGTCATTATATTCATTTTGCATAAAATTGCATTTACACGTGATTTTCGTTTTCCTCAGCGCCATTATTCAAAGAAAAAACGAATCGGTTATTTTTCACGTATCATACATATTTATCGCATATCACAAGCAATAAATACATTTTTTTTGGATCTAACTTATCTAGTTTTTAATGAATTAATATTTAATGCATATTAATCAATAAATTCTTTAGGTTTGAAAGAGATAAAAATGTCTATAAATTCAAAAATAATTCACAAATACACTTTAAGGGGATTTTGCTGATCATATGGGTGACGCTTATAAACTTGAGATTGCCAAAATTTCCAAAATTGCCAAAATTTCTCAGCGAAAATGGAATTATCTGTGCGCTTTTGGTAAAAAGAAAATCTGTTTATTGAAGTTTACTATTTATCCGTGGCGGTAAGTTCGTTTGCGTAACGCGCCCCACTCGACGAGGCTTTTCTCGCTTAGTGAAGTGTACCCCAACAGTGCATACGAGTGGAACTTAATCAAATGGTAAACGGGTGGAAAACAAGCAATCGTAGCCGTCGCGCCGGCAACCAAGCATGGCGAGAACGCGGAGAAAGGACGGCGAGGGCGCGGAAGGGGGACGAGAATGGGAGCGCGGGGGAGAGGGGTAGGTCGTCAATCGAGGAGGGGGTGTAAATCTGATAAAATCATCTCGAACCCTCGAATCTTTCTCCTGCCCTTTCCCCTTGCGGCGCACAGTGCCGTGCTCGGATTCCTCGTAGATATATCCGATAGCGCGCGGGGGCCCTCCTAAATAACGTAAGTAATGTAAGAGGGTGGTGTTGTTGCTACGGTTGTTATTAAATGAGACAGCCTAATAGGCCCATTACGGTCCCCTCGCCGGTCCATTCCCACATAATATAATCCTCACCGCACGCGCTCGCTCGTTGCCGCTACCCCTTACCGTTTCGCCACCCCCAATATGTCGTGTATCTTGATCCGGGCGAGCTCACGCCTACGGAAATCTTTGCTTCACGACGACCGCGTTCTGGATACATCCCTTTCCGGCCGGTAATCCAAGTTGACGGGCACGGACATTGGGTCATGGAACACGGTGTCCCGCATCAACCGAAAAATATCTCGGGCTTCTTTGAACAATTTGGAGTCGATTTTTCTTTCGGTCAAGGATGTCGAAGAAACTCATCGTCGTTGCGCGACTTAATGATCCTCAATTTTAAACTTCTTGACAAGCCTTAATAAACTTCATGTTAAAATAAAGTCGACGACAAATTAACTGAAAACAAAGTTTTGTTACTGAGATATTTCCAAGATATTGACCTTTCACTAGAAGAAAGAAAATATATTTTCTTAAATATCTTTGTATAATTAAGGAAGAAAATCAGCTTCTTAAATTGATCGAAATGGAGAGAGAGAGCTATAATTTTTGAATTATCACAGAAATGTATTTTCTTTGATCAATTTCAGAAATTTCTTTAACGATAATTATAACACTGCAAAAATTAAGGTTTTCTCGATTTTTATTAAATAGATACTCTTAACGAATATTAACGCGCGTGATTCAGTTAGTGCAATTTATACATCGCTAATGCGAAATGCGTCCCATCGTGCACTCGTACACGCGTTCGTGTATAATTATGCGAATAACGGCGGCGAAGAGTCGGATATTAATCCATCGCAGTGGTGTTGTCGAATCTCTCGGGTCAAAGCTTTGCGAATGCGTGTTTTTATCGTGGAAAACGCTAGCGCGGCGGAGTTTCTAATTGCCTGAGAGAGGGCGCGGTCTTAATTTATTCAACAATTCCGCCAATTACGCGAGCGGCGAATATGAATAACGACGATGTTACGAATTAATTAATCATTAGCAAGTATTAGCAACTCCATTTACCGACACTTTTGCATTAATATTAAATGGCGACGGCATCGAATTAGCCGTTAAACGATGGCGTTTAAATCGTTGAATTATGCAGAAGGGCTCTTTTTCTCTCTTTTTTTTTTTCACAAATACCCGCTAGGAATATTTCGCCAACCGCGCGAATTATAAATACAAACTAAATTATATAAATACAAATCAACGTGTTTTATGTATTTTACTCGGGTGACGAACGTACCCGTTCTATGCGGCGAAATGAATGGCGATCACCGATTAGTACAAAGGTTCAAATTTCGGCCAGTTATTTTGGCGGGCATCAACCTATAAAATCGAAGGTCACATTGCCGCATTTGACTGAGTTTAATGTAACGGTATTGTGTGCATCACGTATACACACGAATAAACGATGCGCGTGATACACGTGCTTGCGACGCGAGTATTCTCGCGAATGTTAGTAAAAAGTATCGCATTATTATACGAAATTTGTTGTTGCGCCATTTCATTTCCCATAACAGGCGCGAAAAAGCATTCGTGGAAATGAAGACGCGTCGTTTGCGGGAATGACGCGAAATTTCCACTGCTAATCATTTTTAAGACTGAATTTAGAAACACGGGGCTTCACCTTCACGGGATCTCTGCTTCGCGATTACATTTCGATTATACTTATAGGATGTCATGGAAATCACGATTGTTTGAAGTTAAAAGGGAAAGAAGACTGATTGCTTTGACAGTTCTTAATACGTCAACAGCTTTTGAGGTTTCAATAACCGATTAACATCAAAGAGGACCGAAGACTCGAGATGCGCGAATAAATAAAAAAAAGACGCTTATTCTCATCTAAGCTTGAATGCACTCTGCTTTTTTCTGCTAGCAAGATATGAAGAAATATAAATATTAAATGTTGAAAATTTTGTAGCGACAGATGGAAATTTTTCTTTTGTTATGGAAAACAGACATCTTAAAAGAAATTATACATTCGAATGAAAGTGCGTGACATCTGATACATTCTATATATATCGTCTATATTTTATTTCCCAGAACAAGGCATGTAAAATTCATTGACGTATAACGTCATCCAAATCTTGTATTCAGGTTAAAAATATTTCGCGGCCATACGGACAAATGCGGGAGTCATTCAATTGACAGAGCAGTTATTCGTCGCTTCGGTTCTTTATATTTTTTTAGACGTAACGCTAAATAGCTGTATTATATTGAAATCATAGATATTTTCAAATGTCGAATTGCCGAGCATAATTTGACATTAAATGATTCACAATTTTTGATAATTACAGCGATGTTTGAGAAAATAATTTTGTTTGCTTGTACTTAAAGTAATAACGAATTTGTGTGAGACATCTTTTGCAAATTGTGATAAGAAGAAACGTTTAATCAAACATATTGATGAAGCTTGGTGCATAAAAGCCGGCGTTTTATAAAATTTACTTGGACGTTTTATCGTTCAAAGTTTTATTTACATCTACAACTCTGTTCTTCTCACGAAATTTGTCAAAATTAGAAACGCGATGAGATTAACCAGTGTCAAATAAATTCGTCTGTTGTTTCTTTGTTATTTCCCTGGAAGAAACTGGCGAAAATAGAAAATTGAGTCTCAAAGTCACGTACCTTGATAGCATCGCGAGGTCCGCCGACGCCTGGTGTCCTAGCAGTGGATTAGTAGAGGCATCGCCGGGCGGCGAGAAGGTCGCGGCTGGACTGGTAGCACTGGTAGCACATCCGATACCGATACCCGCGGAATTCGCTCTGGGCTCCAGTCCGGTGTGACCGGTTGTGGACAGTCCGCCGCGTTGACCGCCGGACAGTCTCAGGGATGTGGGCGAGGATGAGATTCTTCCGGGGCTGCCGCACGACGGCGGGATCCTTTGCGAGTTTTGCGAATTCGCGGGTGGTAGCGGCGACGTTCGATCGACGTCCGACGACTGCCTCTCGCCGGATCCTGTAGAAGTCGTCGAATCGACAGGCGGCGATTCCGGTCTGCCGAGAATGCTGGAGATACTGAAGGACGTGTACTGCGGATTGCAGGCAGGCCTAAGCGCCGGCTTGCTCACTGTGTCGAAGCTAAACGAGTGGTGATGATTGCTTAGGCCGCAGCCAGACTTGCCGTTCTTCTCTTGTAACAGCAACTCTGCCGGGGTGGAGCTACTTCTGGAGCCCTCCAGCTCCAGGTCCTCTTCCGACACAACCGACACTTCGATCTCCGTCTCGCCGGACATCCTTCGAGCCGGCCAGTCCGGGGAGATTTCTCGCTGCGGCACTTCTTTCGCGGCTAGCCCAGCTAGCCGGATACGATTTTTCGAACGAGACCGGAGCTTTCGTTTCCGATGATAACCGCGCGTTGTTCTCGGTTCGTCGACGCTTCAGTACACGTTTATATTCAGGGGTAATCCGACGCCGCGACGTCGGCGGTTAAGCGGTGCCCGCCGTCGTCTCGTGCCTCGGACGATCGCATATCAGGACGACACACAGGTACGTGGAGCGCGTTGCTGTCGTTGACTTCAGACGAGGTTGATCGCGCGGCTCGTCGCTAGTCGATGCGCGGCCGTCGCCAGGACGTCCTCGCGCGTCGTCGTGGATCGCAGACGGATCGCTCGATCGCGCGACATTCGTAAGCGATACCCTGGACGACAGGATGATAGGAGACAAGACACTTGGACGGCCCACCCTTCGCGGAGTCGCCCTCTCCCCCTATCGTCCTTCCGCTACCTACCACACCCCCTCTTTCTGTCTTCACCTCTCTCCCTCTTTCTCTCTTACTCTCTCCTTTTTCACCACTACATGTCCGCTCCAGTCTGACACGTAACTTCTCCTCTCCTTTTCGCTTTCCGCTCTTTATCGTCCACCCGCGTAAGCGTAAAGCGTTCCCGCGTGAGTAACACCGAGGCGAGGTGCCCTCGCCGATCGTACCGTCACTTTTCTCGAGTCACTTCCACTGATCGCCAATTACTTCTCACAAATCAACGACGTCGTATCGTGGCCCGTCCCGTTATCGCGGTAGAGTAATCGTGACACACGGTTCTTCTATACCTGTCTGGATTAGAAATCGAAACCGCGACTTTCGTGGGACGTCGAGGAAACGAAAAAAATCGGAAAGAGCTCAGACGTATACGTGCTCCGGCCGTTCGGACGGAGAATACGCAGTTTATAAGGAAGTTGCATCGGTCCGTGCAAGCGACGACGCTGTGCTCCCGTCGCGTCACGTCGCGTCGCGTCGCGTCGCGTCGGAATTTCGACTCGCGCGCGTGTCGTTAGAGCGTCGGCGCGCGCTGACAACGCGTTCGGTCGCACGCTCGCGTTAGAAAGAGAGCGGCGCGAAAGCACCCTCGTGTCCTGCGATACGCTTCGCAGCGAGTGACGAACCGCGGCGGATGAGTGCACTGTGCTCGCGCTACTAAGGGTAGGAAAACGCTGGAGAAACCGCAGGTCACACGGACAAGGACAGACTCGTTCGCACACGCGTAAACACATATACACACACTCACGTACGTACGCTCGCGCGTTTGCTCGCTCATACGGCGAGAGAGGATACGAAGGTAGAGGCGCGAGGCGAGGGGTGCGACGCGCGACGGTGAGAAAGAGAGATAACAGCGGCGGGGAGTAAGATAGAGAGAAAGAACGCTTCGGAGTCACGCTTCGAGAGTCACGGGGGTAGTTATTGCGCGCCGTGCGATAGCTAGACTGCGGGGTGCGAGCGAGGGAGAGGGGAAGGCCGCCGCGCTCGGTAGAACGGAGCGAGCGGATAAATTAGAGGGTGTCAGAGGAAGACGGCAGGAGGGAGCACGCTGACGCGCGCGCGGAGCAGGGAGAGGAAGGTAGTTGAGGGGAGGGTGGCAAGCGAGCGAGGACGGCTAAGCTGCAAGTTACCGGAAGGGGTGTCGGTGCGGTCGGGGTAGGTGGCGGGGCGGGGCCTACGGCTTGCCAGGGGTTGGCTTTCCGGATTCCTCATAGGACGGAGGCACGATCGATGACTCGCGCCGCACACGACTACCCGCCGGGGTAACCCTCGCCGCGGACCAATCGCGTCGGTCGCGCCGTCCTTAACTCGAAAGATACTCGCCCTCGACGTTCCGCGCCACGTCGGCGGGTGAACGGGGTGGTTATACGCGAGGCGACGTGGACGTAGAGGTCTACGAGCGAGAGGGGACGGAGGGAAAGAAGGGTGGCGAACGTTCAAAACGGGGGAAGCGGGATATGCGCGACGGTGTGTGTGGGGGTAACACACAACCCGGTGGCGGTGGCCGTGCCACGCCGTGTTACTTATCCATTATAACACTCCAAGATCTTGATTTAAGCCTGCAGCCAGTGGTGAGCTTTTAACCAATTAGCCTTTATAGCCTACTCCCTCCGCCCTCCCGTTTCCCGCCGATCCCACTCCCCTCACTCGCCCTTCTAGCTCGCCTCGTCGAGTCTCTTCCTACCGTGGCGCGCGATGGTAGCCGCCACGTTGGTGTACCTACATATCCTACACCAATGTCCTCGTCCACAACCGCACGATATACCCACCTAATTTACCGGCTCTCTTCATCCTCCCCCCTTTCTCCTCATCACTCTCGCTCTCTCTCTCTCTCTCTCTCTGTCTCTGCCTTTCACGTTAGCCTTCACTCGACTTTTTCTCGCTCTCTCTCCATCCGCATCACTGTTTCTCTCTCTCTTTCTTTCTTTCTCTCTCCGTCTTTGCACCTTCTCGTTATACAGGGTGTCCGGTAATAACCGCCCAAAATCTCGTGGTCTTGTAGAGCAGATTAAACTGAATCGGAAAGTCCTCTACCATTTTGCAAAATTCACAACCGTTAACGAGATATTAATTTTTGAAAATTGGCAAATAAGCGCGTATCCGTCCGGCCCACCGCTGAATATCAGCGGTGGGGCGGTCGTGCCAGTCGTATCTCGCCGCGCTGCTAGGCGCGTGGGGATAGTCTAGCGACGAGATATGACTGTCCCACCGCTGGTATTCAGCGGTGGGCCGGACGGATACGCGCTTATTTGCCAATTATCAAAAATTAATATCTCGCTAACAATTGCGAATTTTGCAAAATGGTAGAGGACTTTTCGATTCAGTTTAATCTGCTCTATCAGCTCACGAGATTTTGGGCGGTTATTACCGGACACCCTGTATACCTATGAGCATTATGCGCGTTGGTGTATTAGCGTGGTGCATTCGCGCGTGCAAGTACGTTAAACACGTACTGCGCCGGAAGATGCGCGGTAGTATTGAATCCTCGTCGCTCAATGGATAGAAGAGTGCTCCTACGGCGGCAGATAATGCCGCCAAGATGACGCTATTCAAGTGTGGGCGCGATCGAAGCATGGTACGCGAGCATCCTCTCCACATTTCCTTTTCTTGCGGGTTGTGTGTCATGTTTATTGATTCACAGATGCATCCTCGATTTTCTGAATCACATTCGGCCGCGTGAAATATATGATAACAATGTCATATTCGGGTATTTATCCTGCGCGTAATTGCCGTAATCGCGTTGGGTTTTGGTTCGGTTTTGACTATCGAAACAATGTTAGATATTCAAACGCACAATTCAAACGTACAATGATTGCGCTCAGATGTCATTTGCTGAAAAAACACATTTTCGTAAAAGCCAAACTAAAAAATAGTGATTGTTTTTATATTGACAGAAATACCAAAACAAATATTTCTGAAATATTCCTTCTATTCTCTATACTAATAATTATATTTTACACTCTGATGGACTGAAATATTTTCAGCATAAAATTTCTCTAAGAATTTCTACGAAAACAGATCAATAAAATATAAAAAATGTTTAGCTTTTTAAATTATTTTATAGCAGCTAATAAAAAATTTGTAGTTTTGAGATAAAGATAAATATAAATTACAAAGTACGATTACAGTTTTTAGATACGAGAAGTACAATTTTCAATCTGAATATGGTGATTGTTTGAAATTGAAAAAAAATGTCAAATGGGATATATTTTTACCAACTATCACGTTATATGCGCTTAAAAAAAGACGTTATATCTCTTAATCTAGTCCATCGAGTTTTCTTCGTGTAATCCATGAAGCTAATTAGAGGAAGCATTATTTAATCCCATTTGGTTCAACCGGTTCGATGTCGCCGATAAACCGTATCAAAAAAAGCCACCTCTCTCTTCCGGGACCGGAAGATAATTAATACACAGGCATAAGCAAGATGTAAAAACGCAGTAAAAACACAAAGAGGCAGAGCACGGCTAACGGCTCCAAGTCGGATGGACGCAAATGAGCGGCGCGCACGCTACGCATAGCCACACCTCGCGGCTCGCGAGAAAGCGGAAAGCCGCAAACGGCAACCCGAGCTCGCTCAAAGCTCGGAGCCCCCCGAGTGGTCGTCGTTTCCGCCTGAAGGTGAGAAGGTAGAAGGAAAAAATTGTTACATCCTCGTGAATTAAAAAGAAATGGTCAAACGCAGGCGACGCGACGTCGTTTACAATATGTGATAAACAAAGACAAAGGCACTTCTTCTCTTTACACTTGGTCCGTTACGCGCCACCTTTGTAACTTTGTCAAGAATGACCTATCGGTAGTTCTACAAATAAAAAGCTTGAATCTTTAAAAAATAGTATTTAATAAAAAATTCAGAAAAATCCTTTGTAATAAATATATTATAATCACAAACTAGACTAGACTAAACTAGATATAAAAGAGAATATATTAAAATTTTATTCTTTATTGTAAGAAAAAATATATAAACAATGTAAAAAGTATTTTTTGAATTGATATAATTTTGCATTTATTGCATTTTTCTTTTGATTTTTACAAATAATTTGTATTAATATTGCCGTAAATATTAAAGTGATTAAAAAAAATTGTTAACAATGTTTCTTGTGGATTAGTTAAAAAATTGAATATTAATACATTAATAAAATATGATTTCTGAATAAATTGTATTATATTTATAATAAAATATGATTTCTGTATAAATTGTATTTATCTAATAGCAGTGTATACATGGACAACTTCGCAGAGATCAGTACATATATATTCCTATATGCAATAAACGCACACTCGATTCACGTTATGACGGATGGTCATATTCCATTCACGCTCCAATCACGATTCGGTCAAATATCCTCTAATGCGTTTGAATTGCGCTATATGCGTTCAAGTCACGAGATATGATTTCGTGTAATGGCAATTTTTTAAAAACACCGCATGCGTTAGCATACACATGTCCACCATTATTACTCAGAGATTTTAATTTTACAC